TTTATGTAGCCCTTCGTCTGGAAATTTGAATCCCTGAGCTTATCCTTTTCTTTCCCTATTTTGTCCTGCAAAATTAGAAGCATCTAGCTAATCTCATTATGCTTTTTAGTTTGACAAAAATGTTCACCAGTATCATATACATGGATATATGGTCACCCAGAACCTTGCCTCTTACAAGTATTTGATTATGAGTATCCAGTAGTTTCAAACCTTTGTTGCCACATCAATCATGGACTATCAGAGAAAGAGAGAGAGGGATTGATTGAGATTGAGATTTTATTAACTCACATGATTATGGATGCCGTTATGTTTAAAATCTGAAGGGTAGGCTAGCAGGCTGGAGACCCAGGGAGGATTTAAAAATATTGTAACTGTTGCTGGGCATGGTGGCTCATGCCATAATCCCAGCACTTTTGGAAGCCAAGGCTGGCAGATCACAAGGTCAGGAGTTCAAGACCAGCCTGGCCAATATGGTGAAACCTCATCTCCACTAAAAATACAAAAACTAGCTGGGTGTGGTGGTGCATGCCTGTAGTCCCAGCTACTCTGGAGGCTTAGGCAGAAGAATCGCTTGAACCCAGGAGGCAGAGGTTGCAGTGAGTCAAGATTGTGCCACTGCACTCCAGCCTGGGCAACAGAGCAAGGCTCCATCTCAAAAAATATATAAAAAATTCCAGCCTAACAGTTTCTGCCTTGTGTTTGCATTGTTTAATCCATTAACATTTAATGTCATTATTAATATAGTTGAATATATTTGCCATTTTACATTTTTTCCTGTGTAATTTGTTCCTCTGTTCATCCTTTTCCGCTTTCCTTGGCAATGAGTGAAAATTTTATAAAGTAACATTTCAATTCTTTCAATTGTCTTTTACTATATTTTTTAAATAATTTCCTTAGTAGTTGTTTTAGGAATTCCAATAAGTTTATCAAATCTATTCAACTTATCAAAATCTACCTCAGTTTAATACTAAATTAATTTCAGTGAGGTATAAAAACTTTATTCCTATATATCTGTATTCTCTCTTCCCTCTCTTTTTTCTATTATTATACATAGTACATCTATACATTACAGATCCAGCAATACATTATCATATTTATTACTTTATATAATGTTTTATCTTTTAAATAAACTAAGAGAAGAATGTAGAGCAAGTATACAGTTATAGCCCTTGTCATACTAACCATTGTATTCATCGTTTCTGGCTTTCTTTATTTGATGCTGTGTATTTGAGTTACCATCTAGTGTCGTTTCTTTAGACCAACACAGATTTGCTCACTCCCACCTTCTTCAGGCTGTTATTGGCAAATTAGCAAATATATTACATTTCTCTGTGCTATAAGCCCAAACCTAGAGAAAAGTATATACATATCATTTTCTACAGTTGTTCTTTAAGTCAGCTAATGGAAGAAAGGAGAAGAAACATGCATTTGTGCCATTTCTTAATTTCATAATTATCTTTATCAGCACTTTTAAAGTGTGGATTTGAATTTCTGTCTGGGTCCATTGCTTGTGACTGAACAACTTCCTTTAGGGACAGGTCAGCTAGCAACATATTTTCTAAAAGTTTTTATGTGGTAATGTCCTCTTTTTGCCTTCATTATTTAAACATAACTGCTGGATATAGGATTCTTGTTGATAGTTTTCTTTTTTTCTTTCAGCACTTCATACATGTCATTCCCCTACTTTCTGCCTTCAATTGTTTCTGATTAAAAAGTCGGTTGTCAACTTATTGGGGTTCTTTTGTAGGTTATGAGCATTTTTCTCTTGCTGATTTCAATAGATTTTTCTCTTTGTCTTTCAGCAAATTTACTGATATGTTTACACATAGATGTCTTTGTGTTTTTCCTGCTTGGTATATGTTAAGCCCCCTTGATTTGTAGGTTGATATTTTTCATCATATTTAGAAAGTTTCCAGCCATTTCTCTTCAAATCTTTTTTCTGTTCCTTTTTTGACTTCCTGTTTGGCATTCCCAATATGCAAATGTTGCTATGCTTAATGGTGTCCCAAATTCCCTGAGGCTTTGTTCATTTTTCTTCATTGGTTTTCTTTTTGTTCTTCAGACTACATTATCTCTTTCTGCCTATCTTCATACTTGCTAATTCTTTCTTCACATCTACTATTGAGCTCCTCTACTGAGTTTTTTATTTCAGTTATGGTACTTTTCAACTCTAGAACCTATATTTGATTCCTTTTTAATAATCTGTATCTCATTATTCTCTGTTTGATAAGACATTTCCATAACACCTTTCTTCATTTCTTTAAGCAGGGTTTCATTTACTTTTAGAATATATTTGTAATGGCTACTTTAAAGTCTTTGTCTGTTACAACTGATGACTGGTCATTTTCATAATTTCTGTTGCCTGTTTCTTTCCTATGTGTGACACAAACTTTTATATTTCTTTGCACATGTTGTAATTTTTTTTTTTTACTGAACTCTAAACTTTTTAGATAATATATGTTGATAACTACGGGTACTATTCTCACCAAGGGACTTGTTGCTGTTTGCTAGTTTATTGCTTAGTGGCTCAGTGGGCTGTTTGAGTGAAGTCTCCCCCTTCCAGTGTGAAGCCTCAGATGTTGTTCCTCAGAAGGTGCAGATCTTGGCATGGGCACAGTCGTCCCTGGATCACAGTGATTTTTCCGGGCTCTTGACTGTCTCTTTTCATAACCACATCGAGCTATTAAACTCCACTAAGTTTAATATTAATCCAGCTATTAATGCCCTGGGGCGTGAATTTCTCTAAAAACAGATCCAATTAAATTATATGAATAGTTTGAAGTCAGAGTTTAAGCTTCATCTTCACCCCAGGAGGGCTCTTCATAGCTGTCTTTTTTCTTGGTTCGGGCTCTTCATAGCTGTCTTTTTTTCTTGGTTCTCTTTAGTGAACTAGCCTATGGTTTGATTTATATCTGTAATAGAGCTAGCTATCAGTCATCTCTTAATTGCTTTCCACCAAAACCTCCATATTGTTTTACAGCATCCTTAAGTTTTAATTTCCCCCATCCTCTGTTTTAAATTAAGTCAATTAAATTGGGGAGCGCAGAGGAGTTCTCTGTTTTATGGCCTAACTCTCCCCCTGGGCAAAATCTCTGAGCTGGGATAGTGTTATGCTTTTCTGCTTCAGGGTTGAATGTCCAGTGGAGGACAGTAGTCTCTGGTCTTCTTGGCTTGCCTCTCCAAGCATGAAACCTTTTCGCTATGAATGAGCCAGGGTCCAGTCCCCAGTATAGCACCTCATGCCCAAGGTATTCTCCACCTTATGAGTAGGGGCTGAGTGGAAGAAGGGAGACCCAAAGCCATAGCTGTACTTACCCAAAACTTAGCCTCTGCAACAGGTTGCTAGGAGTGGGATGAGAAATGCTAATCCTCTTCCCCTTACAGAAATATACCTTAGCACTTGATTGGAAGCTGGGGGGAAAGGGAGTCCAATATTTTGGGCTGAACCTGCCTAGAGTAATGTTCTGCCACACTGGCCTGTGGGGAGGAAAGGGGGTTGTGCCATGATTCAAATGTCACTGGATTTCACTGTTCTTAATAAGTCTAATAGGTTTTCTTGAATAAATGTTTCTTCATTTGTTGTATGCCCTTAGGATCTGCTCTGGGTTGAATGTGTTTCCCACATTTCATGAGTTGGAAACTGAATCCCCATTGTGGCTGTATTGAAAGGTGGGACATTTAAGAGGTGATTGGATCCTGAGGGCTCTGCTCTCATGAATGGATTAATCTATTGATTAATGGATTGATGAGTTAACATGCAGGTGGAACTCATAGCTTTATAAGAAGGGGAAAGCAACCTGATCAAGAATGTTAGTATGAGATTAAGTATGTCAGCTCTCTCACCAAGTGATATTCTTTGCTGCTTCAGGACTCTGTAGAAAGCCCCCACCAGGAGTAAGCCCTCACCAGATGCTGAACCATGCGCTTGGACTACCCAGTCTCCATAATTGCAACAAACAAATTGCCTTTCTTTATATAAATTACCCAGTTTCCAGTACTTTGTTATAAGCAACAGAAAATGGCTAAGGCAGGATCATAACTAAATGCTTTAAGTGGTTATATTTTAAAACAACGTTCATCAGTTTCACTGGGGTACAGGTTCACAGACCTGTTACGCTGCTATTCTGGAAGTTTCAAAGTTACTCCATATCAAGTCTTACTGATTTTTTCTCTCTCCTTCATAAAAAAGAGCCCTTATTCTATATGTTGAACATTCTGTCGTTGTAACAAATCATATTAATTTGATCTCAATGTGGCTTCAGTTTTCCATGAGGTGTCTGATTCACCTCATGAAAAAACAAGTTATATAATCCTGATTTCTTAATCTATAGAAAACAAAAATCAATGTGTTCTGAAATAATTGGAAAAAATGTCTTGAAAATGATGCCAAATTTCTGTTCTAACATGTTTGGATCAGTTTTCTGAAACTACTTGGTCTAGTCAAGGTGACTGTTCTCATCCTGCTAATAAAGAGCATTAATATCTGTAACATTTATCTTAAAGACATAGGCCATGGGGTCCAGTGAGTTTCTTAGGAAAAATCCTTTTAAATCTTGCTGAATTTCTTAACTCCCATTCCCTTCAAAAAGTATTTATCATTACAAACTCATTACTGTATGTTTAAAAGCATTTTACTCTCTTGAGATAATTTTCTTCTTAAGGATCCAGGTGATAAAATTGTTTTTCTGTTTTAAATGCTTTAAGTTGTCTTTCAAAATATTAAAGCACACATTGTTTCATATTCTCTCAACTATGTGAGTGCCTTTTTCCTCTCCCTAGTGAATTTCTTTCTTTCCCCAGTGAATTATTTACTACTCACCACTTATTAAATTGTACGTGAGAGCTGAAGTGATATTCATGAAGTCTCTCAGAAATGGCTCAAACTTTCTGTTTTAACATCTTTTTAATATGATCCCCCACTTTAGCTTTCATGAAGCCACCCAGTCTAAAACATATGCATAAAGGGCATCTGCCTCTATAATTTTTGTTTGAAAATACAGGATATAGTGGCCAAGGAATTATCTGGGCAATCAGAAGATGAAGCTGTACAAAACAAAAGAAAGAGAATCCTGGAGCAGCCTCAGGAGTTGCTGAATTCCACAGTACTTATTAAAGAACTCATAAAGGTAATATAATTCAATGGCTAACCTACACTGGCTTCATTTCTACTTAAGAGCGTGCTATTGGTGCCAAGGGCTCTCTGTGGTTCTTTGGGCTCTATATATATTCTCCCAGTAGAACAGAAGAGTTATCATGAAACTGTCTGAAGTAGTGATCCATGGGGGTCTGAGAGATTACTGATTGTATTTTGCCCGTAAGTATTCTTTACTGAATTGTGTTTCCTGGATCTTTTTAAGATATATTTTAAGTCTCTGGCCATTCTGGCTGTAAAAAATATCTCTCTTGCAATCCAAAACGGGGAGTGCTTTGGATTGCTTGGATATAATGGAGCTGGAAAAACAACTACTTTCCAAATTTTGACTGGGGAAGAGAGTCCTACTTCTGGAGATGTGTTCATTGATGGCTTTAGCATCACAAAAGATATCCTACAGGTAAGAAGCATAATGAATGACTCAGGTTCAGGTAACAGGTAGATGGCTAGGGAGGGGAGATGGGAAATATGGATGGTATGTATTAATATTTATATTGTTGATGCAGTCAATGGATTCTGGAGAGGGAAACCAACTTGTGAATAGTGAGTGAAGCAGTAAGAACAGAATCTAAAATAAGAGTGTCTTTTATGTTTTTTGAAACTATTAAAGTAAAAGGCAAGTTCTTTCAATGTTAGAGCTAACATACGCCAGACAAGGTACTGTAAGGGTGTAAGGATGGCAAGGCTGGGCAGAAGGAGAAGATAACCTGCAATTCAGTTTCACCTGAGACCTTGCTCCATCTTACTGGGAGCTCTGCGGCAAGATGGCCTTTCACAAATCCCCCAACTGAAGCAAGGTTGCTAGCCTTTGTATCTCTATATCTGCCAGTCATTGGAAGAGAAGATGTAACCTTGGAAAGAAGCTAAGTGTGGGGAGAATTTCAAGAATAAGGGAATTATCAAATGTATCAAATGCCAGGAAGACTAAGGCAAGGTAAAGCCTGGATAGTGTACATTGGTTTTAGTAAGTAGAACTTCACTGATGAGGTTGGCAAGAACAATTGTACTAGTGTTAAGTGGGTAGGGGTAACAAGAGCCTGAAATAGTGTAATTCTTTTCTCCTCACTTAATCACATCAGCCACTATCACCATGGAACAGCAAGAGGGGGTTGGGAGAGCATTCTGTGGGATAGACTAGTCCCAGTAGTCTAGTTTATTAGTCTGTTCTCATCATGCTAATAAAGACATACCTGAGACTGGATAATTTATAAATAAAAGAGATTTAATTGACTCACAGTTCCACATGGCTGGGGAGGCCTCACAGTCACAGCAAAAGGCAAATGAGGAGCAAAGCCATGTCTCACATGGCGACCGGCAAGAAAGCGTATGCAGGGGAATTCCCATTTATAAAACCATCAGATCTCGTGAGACTTATTCACTATCACAAGAACAGCTTGGGAAAGGCCTGCCCCCATGATTCAATTACCTCCCACCAGATCCCTTCCATGACAAGTGGGAATTATGGGACTACAATTCAAGATGAGATTTGGGTGGAGACACAGCCAAAGAATATCATCTGGTAACCAGAAGTGAAGCTAAAAATGTGGGTTATACTTTGAAGAAGATTCACTGTGAGGCAAAATGAAGAATGAAAATTCATCCAGATTTTTGATAAGGACTGAAAATATTTCATAGGTTAAATAACTCAAGCACATTTATACTAGAAGGGGAGAAGTTAAAGAAGCAGAGGAAGGAGTGATACATGATGGCAGGAGGTGATCTGTTCCTTCCAGGTGGTCCTTGCAAAAAAGTCAGGGACCATGAGGTCTCCCCATCTTTGTTCATACCGTTTATCCCTTCCTGAACATGAAGGTGGCATAAAACAGTCCAGTCTCCTGACTGTGCATAATGGAGAAAAAGATTAAGTGAATTTAGTACCAAGGAGCAAAAGCTAAATTGAGAATTAAAAAGATAGTTCATATAAAATGTCATATTTAAAAAGAGAACAGGCATATGGGCAAAATATCAGCCTTTTACAAGGACTGATTTAAAGTTCGGTAAATCTGAGGGAACTCTTTCAAGCCTCAGAAAATTTCTCCAAGTCTACTATTCTAAAATAATTCTCATATTTTATGTAATAGATGGTAATATTTTCATTTATTCAGGCCTTAAAATACTTTTACATTTTCTATTGTGATTAAAGAACATAATATAAAATTTATTATATTAAGCATTGCTGAGTGTACAGTTCAGTGGCATTAAGTACATTTACATTATTTTATGCCCATCACCACTCTTCATCTTCAGAACTTTTCCTTAACCTAAATTAAATATCCGTACTCATTAAACAACTCCCCTTCCCTCTATTAACTCCTTAGTGACTACTGTTCTACTTTCCGTCTCTATGAATTTGACTATACTAGGTACCTCATGTAAGTAGAATCATATAATGTTTCCTTTTATATCTGATATGCTTTACCTAGCACAGTACCTTCAAGGTTCACCTATGTATTCGAATTTCATTCAGTTTGGCTGGGTGCAGTGCCTCACGCCTGTAATACCAGCACTTTAGGAGGCCAAAGTGGGCGGATCACTTGAGGTCAGGTGTTCAAGACTAGCCTGGCCAGTGTGCTGAAACCCCATCTCTACTAAAAATGCAAAAATTAGCCAGGCATGGTGGTGCATGCTTGCAATCCCAACTACTCGGGAGGCTGAGGCAGAGGAATTGCTTGAACTGAGGATGCAGAAGTTGCAGTATGCCAAGATTGCACCATTGCACTCCAGCCTGAGCAACAATTGTAAAACTCCATCTCAAAAAAAAAATGCATTAGTTTTAAGGCTGAATAATATTCCCTTGTATGAGTATACAACATTTGATTCATCCATTCATCCATTTATGGGCATTTGGGTTGTTCCTTTTGGCTCTTGCAAATAATGCAGCTATAAACATTGGTATACAAATATCTGTTTGAGCCCCTGCTTTTGATTATTTGGGATATGTACCTATAGGTGGAATGCAGAATCATATAGTAATTCTATGATTATTTTCTTAAGAACTTCTATACTGTATTCCACAGTAGGAAGGAATTTTACATTCCCACCAGCAACGTGCAAGAGTTCTAATTTATCCATATAATCACTAACATTTCTTCATTTTTGTTTTAATAGTAGCCATCCTGATGAGTGGGAGGTGGTATCTCATTATAGTTTTGATTTGCATTTCCCTAACAATTAGTGATGTTGGGCATTTTTTTTCATGTGCATATTGGCCATTTGTATACCTTCTTTGGAGAAGTGCCTATATTAATCATTTGCATGACTTTAAATTGGGTTGTTTGGTTTTTGTTGCTGTTGAGTTAGAGGAATCCTTTACATATTCTGGATATTAATTCATACAAGATTTGTAAATATTTTTTCCCATTCTGTGGGTTACCTTTTCTGGTGTCCTCTGGTGCACAAATGTTTTAATTTGAAATTCAGTTTATCTAATTTTTCTTTTGTTGTCTGTGATTTTGGTGTCTTATCCACAAAATCTTGTGAATTCGATGTCATGAAGTTATTCCTCATTTTTTTCCTAATAGTTTTATAGTTTAATTCATATTTTAGGTCTTAGATCCATTTTGAGTTTATTATGGTATGTGGTATAAGATAATGATCCAACATCAATCTTATTCATTTGAACATCCAGTTTTCTCAATGCCATTTGTTGAAAAGACTGTCCGTTGCCTATTGAATGGTATTGGCACCAATGTGTGATTCAGTTGATCATTTCCTGAAAATTTGTTTCTGGGTCACTGTTTTACTAATCTATATGTCTGTATTTTTATTACTGAAACTTTTCAGTAAGTTTTGAATGTATAAAATATGAGTCCTCCAATTTCATCCTTCCTTTTCAAAAGATTGTTTTGGCCATTTGGGTTCCTGAAGGTTCGATATGAATTTTAGGATGCACTTTTTTTAAAATTGCATTTTAGGTTTTGGGGTACATGTGCAGAACATGCAAGATAGTTGCATAGGTACACACATGGCAGTGTGATTTGCTGTTGTCCTCCCCTTCACCCACATCTGGCATTTCTCCCCATGCTATCCCTCCCCAACTCCTCCCCCCCGCTATCCCTCCCCTATTCCCCCCAATAGACCCCAGTATGTAGTGCTCCCCTCCCTCTGTCCATGTGTTCTCATTGTTCATCACCCACCTATGAGTGAGACCATGCAGTATTTCATTTTCTGTTCTTGTGTCAGTTTGCTGAGAATGATGTTCTCCAGATTCATCCATGTCCCTACAAACGACATGAACTCATCGTTTTTGATTGCTGCATAACATTCCATGGTGCATATGTGCCACATTTTCCCAGTCCAGTCTATCATCGATGGGCATTTGGGTTTGTTCCAGGTCTTTGCTATTGTAAACAATGCTGCAATGAACATTCATGTGCATGTGTCCTTATAGTAGCATGATTTATAGTCCTTTGGATATATACCCAGTAAAGGGATTGCTGGGTCAAATGAAATTTCTATTTCTAGGTCCTTGAGGAATCGCCACACTTGTCTTCCACAATGGTTGAACTAATTTACACTCCCACCAACAGTGTAAAAGTGTTCCTATTTCTCCACATCCTCTCCAGCATCTGCTGTCTCCAGATTTTTTAATGATCACCATTCTAACTGGCGTGAGATGGTATCTCAATGTAGTTTTGATTTGCATTTCTCTAATGACCAGTGATGATGAGCATTTTTTCATGTTTGTTGGCCTCCTGTATGTCTTCTTTTGTAAAGTGTCTGTTCATATCCTTTGCCCATTTTTGAATGAGCTTGTTTGTTTTTTTCTTGTAGATCTGTTTGAGTTCTTTGTAAATTCTGGATATCAGCCCTTTGTCAGATGGGTAAACTGCAAAAAATTTTTCCCATTCTGTTGGGAAAACAGAATGTGCAGAAGCTGTGGAGTTTGATTAGGTCCCATTTGTCTATTTTGGCTTTTGTTGCCAATGCTTTTGGTGTTTTGTTCATGAAGTCCTTGCCTACTCCTATGTCCTGGATGGTTTTGCCTAGATTTCCTTCTAGGATTTTTATGGTGCCAGGTCTTATGTTTAAGTCTTTAATCCATCTGGAGTTAATTTTAGTGTAATGTGTCAGGAAGGGGTCCAGTTTCTGCTTTCTGCACATGGCTAGCCAGTTTTCCCAACACCATTTATTAAACAGGGAATCCTTTCCCCATTGCTTGTTTTTGTCAGGTTTATCAAAGATTGTATGGTTGTAGATATGTTGTGTTGCCTCCGATGCCTCTGTTCTGTTCCATTGGTCTATATCTCTGTTTTTGTACCAGTACCATGCTGTTTTGATTACTGTAGCCTTGTAGTATAGTTTGAAGTTCGGTAGTGTGATGCCTCCTGCTGTGTTCTTTTTGCTTAGAATTGACTTGGCTATGTGGGCTCTCTTTTGGTTCTATATGAAGTTTAAGGTGGTTTTTTTCCAGTTCTGTGAAGAAGGTCATTGGTAGCACTTTTCTACTACTGCAGAAAAAAAAAATTGTCAGGATTTTGATAGAAATTGCACTGAATCTATAGATTATTTGTAACAGTAATAGTAGTTCTCTCAATCCATGAACATGGGATGTATTCCTATTTCTTTATGTCTTCTTTAATTTTTCAGCAATTTTTATAATTTTCAGTGTCCAAGACTTTTAACTTACTGGTTAAGACTATTCCTATGCATTTTATTCTTTTTGATGCTATATGAATTAAATTGGTTCTTTTTAATTTCCTTTGGGTGGTTTTATTGTTAGTGTGTAGAAATGTAACTAATTTTTAAAAAATATATATATATCAATCTATTAAACATATTTCCCTATACCTTATACAATATGAATGGAATAGATGAATAAAAATTCAATAAAAATTAAGAAGAGGAAAATAAATCCAAAGAAGTGATAAGTCCATAGAAAAACTCACTTTGATTAGCTTGGAAAATGCCACAACATTACCACTAAGCTTCTTAGAATCTGTATTGACTATGAGATCTGACTTCATATCAAATACAGCTATCTCTTCTAAATAGAAGTCAGGGTCCAAGCAACCTGGCTGAGTCAATCTTCAGGCATATAAAACTGGATCATGGTTATAATTTGCTAGGATGCTGCCTTTTTTGTCATTGTTGTTGTATTGTCTTTCTCTGCCTGGAGGAAAAAAATGGGGTGGTTGCTAGGTTGCTATAGTGGTTATAGTAGAGTCAAGAGACAAGAAATTACTTGGTCTCCAGCACCATTTAGATATGGTAGTATAGGGAAAAAGAACTGCTAGTCAGGGCTATGATGATTACATAGAAGGCCATATTGGTGTCCAGACTAGTTCAAATCTATGTATATCATTCAACTTTGTGCTTGATATTTGGTGGCAGAGACATGCTGAGCAGCAACTATGGCTCATGAGATACTGGCAGATCTAATTTTAAATGCAGGGGTGTCACTGCTTGTTTAATTAGAAGTGGCAAGGTCTGCCAGAGTCAATGGAAATCTGACATACGTCCAGAAATCACACAGCTGGTTTCCATGTTTATTTTTGTTTCTTTGTTTTTTAATGTAAGCATTTGTAGCTTGCATGGCCCCCCATTTCCCCCTGTTTTCTATCTTTGTCCTGACTGAGGAAACAGAGTGCCTTGACCAACCTGAGTTGCTGCTCAGGATCAGCTTTATGCCTTCCCCTACAGGCTTGGACCCAAGCCAGAGCCTGGAAGCTACCAAGGAACATTCCAAGACACTGATAAAGTTGTTTAAGTTGTTGCCCAAAACTGAAAGGTCAAGCATCTTGCTAAACACATAGAAAGTAGCCCTGGCCCTGAGCCAAATTATTTAAACACTCGTTCAGACTCTGTAAACCAACTCCCTCTTTATAGCCATACCCAGGTAGAGCATCGTCTTTCTTAATATCCGTCACAAGGACAACCACAACTCTTGTATGTGAATTTTCCTAATAAATGTTTTGGATTGCTGTCAAGTACTTCTTTCTTTGGAATCCCAGTTGGCCCCACCTCAGGGTGACTTAGGGCAGTCCATTGTAAGAACTCGTCAGCCACCACTTTTGGGGCAATGCTGACCATTTTCTCCAAGGACAGAGCACAGGTATAAATTTCCCCTTGAATACTGCTTTTGCTGGGTCCATGAGTTTTTATGTAGTGTTTTGTTTTCACTCACCTCTAATCATTTTCTAAATTCTCTTATGATTTCTTCATTTAGCCATTGGTTATTTAAGAGTGTATAAATCTGCAAATTTGTGAATTTTCCAGGTTTTCGTTTCTTAACGATACCTAAATTTTTTTGTTTCCTTTTACAATTTTCTGCCTCCTTATTGATACTTCCATTTTGTTTGTACATCATTTTCTTGACTTCCTCTACATCGTCCTTCAGTTTTTAAAGCATCGTTAAGACATAAAGTATTTTTCTAGTGTATCTGCCCTCGGGTCTTTTTCAGTAGTGGTTTTCATTCATTTTTTTCCTTTGGTGGGTCATACTTTCCTGTTTCTTTGTATGCTTTTTAGTTTTATTAAAAACTCTAATAAAGTGGTAATTCTGGAAATTATATTCTCCTCATTCTCCTAGGTGTGTTGTTGTTTGTTACTTTTTATTGTTTTTGTTTTTTGGATTGTTGTAGGCTGTCTCTGTGCTTAGGATCAGCCTGGGGTGTGAAACTAAGTTCTTCTCAGGTATTTTCTAAGTCTGTCTTTCCCTGAGCATGTGTGGTTACTTTCTAAATTTATTTATACATGCAGTTGTGTTTTAAAGCTCCTGTCACTTCAAACAGAAGGGCAGGGGCTTGTGCCATGCCAGGAGTTTAGGGGGCATGAATAGTTTGGAAACACTGTAAATTAATTAGTAATTTACTTTAATTTAAATTGATAGCCTTTTCTCTGGATCTTAGGCTATGCACCTCAATGCACATCAACAGAAGGGTTTGACTAATTGGTGAAGCAACACTTATTGCAGTCTCTGGTTTAAGGATGAGTGCAAAAAGGCTTTGCTTCTGGTTCAGCTTTACTCTGGAACAAGATGTACATATGGCTCTACAGATTAAACAAAGCTAAAACATCATGGTGGCCGTGCTTCTTGGAGTTTCTGATTAATAAGAGCATTTCATATTCTAATACTCCTCCAAATTGAGTGGCTCTAGAATTTATTTCTAACTTCTTTATCCCCAAGATCATTAAAACTGAATTAGGGAAGCTATTATCCCAAAGTCCTACAATAGGTCTGACAGCTGTAATTTTGTAGCCCTTTACTCAAAAAAAAATCTCGATGGGACTCTTAGAAGCAGGGCTTGGAGGACTGCAGGTTTGCTATCTCATCAATGGATGCATAGTGGGATAGAAGACTTGGGTCTTTACTCAAGGCAATTTTTGTTATTAGGTGAGGTCAAGAATTGGCTATTGTCCTCAGTTTGATGCCTTGCTGGAATATATGACTGCTCAGGAAATAATGGTTATGTATGCCAGAATATGGGGAGTCTCTGAGCCCCAGATTGGGCTGTATGTGAACAAATGGTTGAATTCACTGGACCTGGAGTCTCATGCTGACGAGCTTATCTGCACCTACAGGTGAGTCACTATGCTACTGCTCTCTTTTGTTGATGCTGCTAATATCGAGGTCCTTCCTTTTGTCCTTGCTGTTTGAAATGAAGCTTATAGCTCCACCTAAACTCCTCTTCCCACATTACCTACTTGTGAAACTATCTAGTGTTTTGCTAGGCTTCAGATGCCAGTAATAAGGCAAATCAATACAGTTCCACATCTTACCTTTGCAGAGATGAAACTCAGAGTCTTGGTTCTAGTTGAACTGTATCTCTGAACCTCAAAAAAAAATTAAAAGAGTGTCTCCTCTTCCTAGTGTCCCTATAGTTCTTTGTCTACCAAGTAAGGAGGAATGTAGGCCCTTTGAATTATACGTGATTTATGTGCCTTGAAAACCTTACCACTCTAAGAATTTGTAAGTAAATGCCACTGATAATGCTGCCAAAATTAATTACATAAAATCACTCCTCTATATCTCAAAATGAATTGATACACTTGTCTGTAATTGGGCCTGATACCTAATCAAAGTCACATCTAATCAGTACTGTGGATGTTCAGGTTAAATGTTTGCTGGGACTCTCAGCATTTGGAAAATTTGTACTAACTCTCCTATACATAAGGATATGTATAGCCATTTCTTCTCCCACTTTTTCTCTCCTTCTTTGGCCATGAAGTGGAGGAAACAAACGCAGGCTGAGTACTGCTATTGCCCTAATGGGAAGGCCTTCAGTCATCTTCCTGGATGAGCCATCAACTGGCATGGACCCAGTAGCCCGACGCCTGCTCTGGAACACGGTGACAAAGACACGTGAAAGTGGAAAAGCCATCGTTATAACCTCCCACAGGTGTGGCTCATCAGAAGGGTTGGTAGAGGGTTAGCAAGAGTTTTAGTGGCTATAAGAGGGAATTGTTTAGGCCTGGTGGATAATATTGTACAGTAAACTTGCCTAAGTATGTTAGCTCCTCATTAGGAATTAGGATTCGTGCTAATCCTAATAAATCAAATAGCTAAAAATCCTCAAGTTAAAAAATAGTGAGGAAAAGACAGGACTTCAGAAGATGTGCTGTTTGAAAATAGGGCACTCTATTATTTTTCATTTGAAAAAGTCCCACTTACCAGCTATGAGCTTTATAATTGGAAAAATACAACTTTCAAATGAAAATAGGGTCACAAAATTCTGGCTCTGATTGAATGCCCTCCTAAAGAGAATTTTTTATTTTTACCCTTAAAACGTTCTGCCCTTTTTGTTTTGCAAGTATGGAGGAATGTGATGCCCTCTGTACCAGTCTTGCCATGATGGTGCAGGGGAAGTTAATGTGCCTGGGCAGCCCTCAGCATCTCAAGAACAAGTTTGGCAACATTTACATCCTGAAGGTCAAGTTCAAGACTGAAGCTAAATTAGAGGATTTTAAATGTTATGTTACAACAAGGTTTCCAGGTAAATTAAGTTGTGCTACCTTTGTCAGAAATGTATTAAATCGGCCAGGCGCAGTAGTTCATGCCTGTAATCTCAGCGCTTTGGGAGACGAAGGCGGGCAGACCACTTGAGCTCAGGAGTTCGAGAATTGTGTTAAATCATATTTGTTGTTCTCACCATCGACATGATTTATGTCTTCGGTACCCGTTTCCTGTGAGTTATTGATATGTATTGATTTTCTATAATGTTCCTTTGTCAATGTTTGATACTATGTCTCTTGTGCCAGATTATGCTAAGTTTTACAAAAAAACAGAGGTTCTCACAAGCTCTTACATCACCTAACAAGGCAGTTTTATAGTTGTGCTGTCCATATAAATTATGTAGGCGCAGTAGCTCATGCCTGTAATTCCAGCAACTTGGGAGACTGAGGCCAGAGAATTGCTTGAGCCCCAGGGTTTAAGGCTGCAGTGAGCTATGATTGTGCCATTGCACTCCAACCTAGGTGACAGAGCAAGACCCCATCTCTAAAATAATAATAATAAATAAAAATAAAATTTAATTAGATATCTAAAGTCATATTTTTCACATAATTCTCAATTATTTTCACAGATTATTTGTGCAAAATTTTAAAGTTTTTTTCCTTCACACTAAGCATGTAACTTCATGCTTTTGTTGTCTCAGCTAGGATATGGTATTGGAATGCAAATAAGAACTGGTGTTTCTCTCCTTTCAAGAGTAGTTTGGTTTCTGAGTGCTGTTTCTTCATGCTAGATTCAGTAAGCACCTCTCTGCCTACATGGACGAGTGCAAAACAGAGCACCCATTTTTATCTGTCTCTTATCTCTCTTTCCTTAACTTAAAGCATAGGCAATGGCAACGCTTTTAATAATTCTGGTTTTTCATCTTAGTTTCCACTCTGGTAGGCTGAGAAAAATATCACAGAAGTTCCTGTTGTGTGTTAGGCTAAAAGGTTGAAAGTTTGTCTCCGAGGCAATGGAAAATAGCAAAACTGATTACACAGTAAGAATGAAAATCAGGGCCAGGCACAGTGGCTAATGCCTGTAATCCCAGCCCTTTGAGAGGCTGAGGTGGTTGGATCACCTGAGGTCAGGAGTTCAAGACCAGCCCGGCCAACATGATGAAAACCCATATCCATGAAAAGTACAAAAATTAGCTGGGCATGGTGGTGCATATCTGTGGTCCCAGCTACTGAGGAGGCTGAGGCAAGAGAATTGTTTGAACCCTGGTGGCAGAGGTTGCAGTGAGCAGAGGTCATGCCGTTGCACTAAAGCCTGGGTAACAGCGAAAGACCCTGTCAAAAAAGGAGGATAGGAAGGAAAGGAAGGGAAGGAAGGAGAGGAGGGGAAGGAAGGAGAGGAAGGGAAGGAAGGAGAGGAAGGGAAGGAAGGAGAGGAAGGGAAGGAAGGAGAGGAAGGGAAGGAAGGAGAGGAGGGGAAGGAAGGAGAGGAGGGGAAGGAAGGAGGGAAGGGAAGGAAGGAGGGAAGGAAGGAGGGAAGAAAGGAAGGAGGGAGAGGAAGGAAGGAGAAGGAGGAAGGAAGGAAGGAGAGGTGGAGAAGAAGGAAGGAAGGAGGAAAAGAAGAAGAAAGGAAAAAAAATCAGAAAATAGATATGAAATGGATGGTCAAGCACAAGTGGAGAACGAGCTGTGTGGAAAAATAATCACATTGCTGTTGGCCATAGTTTTATGATGTGCCCATCACACATGCAGATGGATATATCTATTAAGAAGTTGAATATTCACTTATGCATTCATGTGACAAATATTTTTGAGGACATATTGTGTCAGAGGTTCTATTCGATGTGGTCAATAAATCACTTTGAGAAAGCTCTGCACACTTCAAGATAATACAGAAAAACAATTCAACAAAATCGGGTAAACAATAAATGACCCAGGCTAGTAACTTCATATAGAAATTGAAATTACTTTTAAAAAAATCAAACTGATATCATGGATATGTAATATACAGTGAATAAAATGAAAAATGAAGTAGAAAGTATTAACAACAGAATTTATCAAGCAGAGAAAAATATCTCACCTTAAAATAGGATTTTTGAAAATATATAGTGAGATGCCTTTTGAAAATATACAGTTAGATGATTAAAAGAAAAATTAAGAGGAAGGAAGAAAGCTCATGGGATTTATAGAATGGCATCAAAACAACCAGTGTTTAAGTTATAAGAGTTCGTGAACGGAACGATCCAAGATGGCCGATCGCTAACATCCCAAGACTGCAGCTCTCAGGGAAGGCGCGGAGAACTAGAGGACGCCACACTTTCAGACAAATTCTGGTCACTCACGGAGCAGAAGATCCCCCAGTGGAGGAAACACACGGGTGGCCAGCACAACTCTCGTGGACGGCGCAGCGGTTCCGATGGCACCTCAGCGCGGCAGCTCTCGGAGCAGAGTAAACAGGTTCGGAGGACCCACACGGGTCCCCAGCAGGACACCAGAGCCTGGTGCAGCGGCTGTGATGGCACCTCGGTGCGGCAGCGCTCGGCGCAGAGTAAACGGGACCGGTTCCCCTTTTGACCGAGGTTTGGAGTCCTGGGAAGGCAGAGACACCCACTATGGACACAAGAAGGAAGCCAGACAGGAGAATCCTGGGCAGAAAAGCACCATCAGTTTTAACGCCGCTGCTCTGGCCCTGGGAACTAACAACCTGGACGTCCACTCAAGAGACCTAATCTGAAGGTTGGTAATTTCAAAGACGACAGGAGGATAAATTTACAATGATGGGAAGAAACCAGCGTAAAAAAGCTGAGAATACTCAAAGTCAGAACGCCTCTCCCTCTAAAGATGATCACAGTTCCACATCAACAATGGAACAAGGCTTGATGGAGAACGAGTGCATCCTGATGACAGAATCACTCTTCAAGGAATGGATAATAACAAACTTCAGTGAGTTAAAAGAACATGTTGTAGCCCAACGTAAAGAAACTAGGAACTTTGAAAAAAGGTTTGATGAAATCTTATTGAGAATAGACAACTTAGAGAGGAGTATGAGTGAATTAATGGAACTGAAGAATACAATACAGGAACTCCGAGAAGTATGCACAGGTTTAAACACTCGAATTGTTCAAGCAGAAGAAGGGATATCAGAGGTCAAAGTCCAACTTAATGAAATAAAACGTGAAGAAACGATTAGAGAAAAAAGGATAAAAAGGAATGAGCAAAGTCTCCAAGAAATGTGGGACTATGTGAAAAGGCCAAATTTACGTTTGATAGGTGTACCTGAATGCGATGGAGAGAATGAATCCAAGCTGGAAAATACCCTTCAGGATATTATTCAGGAAAATTTTCCTAAACTAGCAAAGCAGGTCAACATTCAACCCCAGGTAATACAGAGAACACCACAAAGATATTCCTCAAGAAGAGCAACCCCAAGGCACATAATCATTAGATTCACAAGGGTTGAAATGAAGGAGAAAATACTAAGGGCAGCCAGAGAGAAAGGTCAGGTTACCCACAAAGGCAAGCCTATCAGACTTATAGCAGATCTCTCAGCAGAAACTCTACAAGCCAGAAGAGAGTGGGGGCCAATATTCAACATCCTCAAAGAACAGAACCTTCAGCCCAGAATTTCTTATCCAGCCAAACTAAGCTTCACAACTGAAGGAAAAATAAAATCTTTTATGAACAAGCAAGAACTCAGAGATTTTACTACCACCAGGCCTGCTTTACAAGAGCTTCTGAAAGAAGCATTACACACAGAAAGAAACAACCGGTATTAGCCTTTCTAAAAATACACCAAAAAGTAAAGAGCACCAACATAAAGAAGAATTTACACCAACGAATGGATAAAACAGCCAGTCAACATCAAATGGCAGTAACCCTAAATTTAAATTGACTAAATCCCCCAATCAAAAGACACAGCCAAAACCCAATAGCATGTTACATCCAGACCTGTTTCACATGCAAGGATACACAAAGACTCAAAACAAAGGGTTGGAGAAAGATTTACCAACCAAATGGAGAGCAAAAATAAATAATAAATAAATAAAAAGCAGGAGTTGCAATTCTCGTATCAGATAAAATAGATTTTAAAGCAACAAAGATATAGTGATAAAAGGATCAATGCAACAATAAGAGCTAACGATGCTAACACCCAGATACGAGACTTAGATTCAATGAGACAGAAAATTAACAAGGATATCAAGGACTCGAACTCAGATCCAGAACAAGTAAACTTAATAAATATTTATAGAGCTCTCCACTTCAAATACACAAAATATACATTCTTGTCAATACCACATCACACCTACCCATAAGTTTAAATGAAACATTGATTGGCCATTATTAATACCCAATTTTTTTCAAAATAAAGCAATATTTCCATTTACTCTCCCTCTTCTTCTTCCTCTTTCTTCCTCTCCTTTACTTATTTTTTTTTCTTTCCTTCTCTCAAAAAAAAGAAATCAACTTGTAAACCTCTAGATTCAGGTTGGCAATGTCTCTCTCATTGCTTGATTTCCTTCCTTCCCTTCCCTCCCTCCCCGCTTCCTCCCTTCCTTCCTTCCTTCATCCCTTCCTTCCTCCCTACCGTCCTTCTTCCCTCCCTTCCTGCCAAAAAAAAAAAAGAGTTTGTGAAGAAGAAAAAAATAAATTGTTAGGAAGCTTATTTAAAGAAATAAAAACAGAAGATTTTCCAAATATGAAGCAAAACATAAATATCCAGGTACAAGAGGGTCACATATCTGCTTTCAGATTCAATACAAACAAGAATGCCTCAAGACATTATAATTAAATGTTCAAACACAAGCACAAAGAGATGATCCTGCAAGTAGCAAGAGATTAAAAAAAAAAAAGCAAATAACACATAAGGGAGATACTATAAGGCTAGCTGCAGATTTTTCAACAGGGACCTCATAGGCAAAGAGAGTGGGATGACATGTTCAAAGTACTAAAGAGGAAAAAAACCGCCAACCAAGATACTGTATCCAATACTATGTTGAATAGGAGTGATAAGAGGACATTCTTGTTGTGTGGCTAGTTTTCAAAGCTTCCAGCTTTGCCCATTCAGTATGATATTGGCTGTGAGTTTGTCATATATGGCTCTTATTATTTTGAGGTATGTCCCTTCAATATCTAGTGTATCGAGAATTTTTAACATGAAGGGATGTTGAATTTTATCAAAGACCTTTTCTGCATCTATTGAGACAATCATATGGTTTTTGTCTTTAGTTCTGTTTATGTGATGAATCATGTTTATTGATTGGCATATGTTGAACCAACCTTGCATCCCAGGGATGAAGCCAACTTGATCATGGTGAACAAGCTTTTTGATGTGTGGGTGGATTCAGTTTGCCAGTATTTTATTGAGGATTTTTGCATTGATGTTCATTGAGGATATTTGCCCTAAAGTTTTCTTTTTTTGTTGTATCTCTGCCGGGTTTTGGTATCAGGATGATGCTGGCCTCATAGAATAAGTTAGAAAGGAGTCCCTCCTTTGGTCACCAGCCTACACATACCTGTAGGGGAGGTAGCTGTAGACCCCTGTTGGGAGGTCTCACCCAGTTAGGAGGAATAGGATCAGGGACCCACCCAAAGCAGCAGTCTGGCTGCTTTTTGGTAGAACAGGTGTGTTGTGTTGTGGGGAACATTTTCTTGTTTGGGTTGCCTGTATTCTTTAAAGCTGACAGGCTGAAGCAGCTGAGTCGACCAAACCACAGAGATGGCAGCTGTTCCTTCCCCCAGGAGCTTGGACTCATCATCTCAGGGGAACTCCAACTCACTGCCATTGGCTGGTTGGGATTCCAAGCCAGTAGGTCTTACCTTGTGACATGATGTGGAAGTGGGGCCTGCAGAATAACACTGTTTGGCTCCCTGGATTCAGCTTCCTTCCTAGAGATATGTACAGATGCACCTCCCTTCTTGCTGGGGATCCCAAGGTCGGAGTATATAAAACCCCTGAGTCTCTGTGTATTCCTAAGTGGATGCCCTGTTGAGACTTCACACTCCAACTCACTGCCATTCTGTGTATCAGACCCAAGGCCCTGGTGGTGTGGACTCACAAGGGGATCTCTTGATCTGTGGGTTGCAAAGATCCTTGGGAAAAGCATGGTTTCCTGAACAGGGTCTCACAATCACTAGCTGCTTCTCTTGGCTAGGGGTGGGGTTCCTTTGGCTTCATGTAGCTACTTGGTGGGCCATCTCCACCCCCTGCTCTTCATCCTTCTCCATGGGTTGAGTTGTTAGCCTAGTTGGTCCCAATGTGAGAACCTGGATATGTCAGTTGAAGGTGCTAAATTCATTCATCCTTCTCCATCCCTCTCCATTAGTGCTGTGAACTGCAGCCACTTCTAATAGGCCATCTTGGATCAGGTTCCTCTGTAAGCATTTTAGAAGGCTCAGATTTTTTATGTTGGGCATGTCAGCTGGTAATTTACTGTACCTCAAATCCTTCCTTCAGTAATTTCTATGAATTCCACATAAGAAGATGATTTCATGAGGAATAAATCTGCTGAAAGCGTTAACCATGTCATGGATACCAAGGAGTGGGTTAGAGGATCATACCTGCTTTTGTATTGGCCTCCTCTATTCACCCCTCCACAGTATATAATTAAGTACATGTAGTGATATTTTGGCGATTTCAAATGAAGCCTATAAGATTATTCACCTGTCCTATTTTCCTTTCTTTTTTTTTAATTTTTTATTGCATTTTAGGTTTTGGGGTACATGAGCAGAACATGCAAGACAGTTGCATAGGTACACACATGGCAGTGTGTTTTGCTTCCTTTCTCCCCTTCACCCACATTTGGCATTTCTCCCCAGGCTATCCCTCCCCAGCTCCCCCCCCGCTGGCCCTCCCCTTTTCCCCCCAATAGACCCCAGTGTTTAGTACTCCCCTCCCTGTGTCCATATGTTCTCATTTTTCATCACCCCCCCTATGAGTGAGAATATGCGGTATTTCATTTTCTGTTCTTGTGTCAGTTTGCTGAGAATGATGTTCTCCAGATTCATCCATGTCCCTACAAACGACACGAACTCATCATTTCTGATTGCTGCATAATATTCCATGGTGTATATGTGCCACATTTTCCCAATCCAGTCTATCGTCAATGGGCATTTGGGTTGATTCCAGGTCTTTGCTATTGTAAACAGTGCTGCAATGAACATTCGTGTGCATGTGTCCTTATAGTAGAACGATTTATAGTCCTTTGGATATATACCCAGTAATGGGATTGGTGGGTCAAATGGAATTTCTATTTCTAAGGCCTTGAGGAATCGCCACACTGTCTTTCACAATGGTTGAACTAATTTACACTCCCACCAACAGTGTAAAAGTGTTCCTTTTGCTCCACATCCTCTCCAGCATCTGTCGTCTCCAGATTTTTTAATCATCACCATTCTAACTGGCGTGAGATGGTATCTCAATGTGGTTTTGATTTGCATCTCTCTGATGACCTATTTTCCTTTCTTAGGTAGTATCTTAAAACATGAGAATCAAGGAATCCTTAACTACTACATTCCCAGCAAGGACAACCGCTGGGGAAAGGTGATGATAGCAACCTTGCCCTTCTAACGTTGCATGTTAAGAGAACACTAACAATGGGGAGTATTTGGGATCATAGAATGTGGAATGGGAGCCTGGCGTTGTTGGGGGAGTAGCACCATTAGGTTGCTTTTCAAACACCCCTAGAGTTTAATAGCTTCAATTTCTTCCCCTAAATTCCACTGTTACTCCATGTCCATCAAGAGAATGGGAACAGAGAATGGCCTCCTCTCACTTTCTCAATTCTCTGTTCTTCCACTTTCTCACCTCTCCTTTCTTTGCCTTTTGTCCTCCAGCATACACTTGGCAGGAACCAGGGGTGTAGAGGAGAGGCTCATCTGAGTTGGGGGCTGAAGGGGAGATTGCAATGGTAACTGCATTTTTGTGGCTGTTGTTAAAGGTGTTTGGCATTTTGGAGCACGCTAAAGAGCAATTTGATATAGAAGACTACTCCGTCAGTCAGATCACACTGGAACAAGTCTTCCTGACCTTTGCTAACCCAGAGAAAGAATTCAGTGATGAGGAAAATGAGGTGCCATGAAATTCAATTACAACCAGTGACCCTCGTGTCTTACATAGTTGACACCTGGACCTTCTGTGTATAGGGGGACCTTCCTGTGCATGTATATCTTGATATAAATATATTTATGTAATGAAGATTTTCCCAAAGGAGAATGTTTGTCCCCTTCATTGCAGATTTAGATGAGTGGCCTGTGTATCCAGCATGCTCAAATCTGAGGACATTTGGTGAAATTACTGTTTTCTCTTCCTGAGATAATGAAAGAGGAGCATTTATCAGGGTTGGGACAGGAACCTGTTCCTGAGTGTTCTGGATGTTTGAATAGAAAGATCCAGTAAGGATGGAGCTGTCAGATGGGATGGCCCAAAGAACAAGAGCTTTATGTTTTAGCTGCTGAGTTACAGATGAGAAGAGCATAAGGCCTGGATCACATCGGCTTTTTCATGAATACACACACACACATTCACACTCAGACACACATGTACACATGCACATATATCTAATATAAATCATCAATGTTGGAGGGCTGAGTGGGGTTACTATTTCAAAAATTCAAAATAAAGTTCTTATGCTTCAGTTGAAAAAGAATTTTTGCACCAAGAACATTTGGGGTCCATGACCAGAATTTTTAAAAAGGGTTATTTAAAAATATTGTGTTTTCTTTTCTACCATTGTCTCACCTCTAATAAAGAAGAAAAGAAGGAGAAATAAAGTGGAGAAGGAGGGACACAGAGAGTTTCTTCTGATTCTTGCCTTGGTAGATAGATGAAGTCCCCCATAAATAAGATGAGAACTCTAATCACCTCTTCAGGATTCATAGACAACTGAGTAGACAGCTAGGATAGTTCTTGTGGAATGGCAAGGTGAAGAGAGTCTGCAAAGCTGCTCTATTTTGGGGTGGCTTGTTCAGTGTTTTCAAATCCTTAATTGGATATTGTTGATTATAAAGTGACATCCACCAGATGCTTACTATTCTTTTTTTTTTTTTTCTTAAAGAGGGAATTTGAGTTTGTATCTATGAAGAGTCTAGGAGCATTAGAAGTCTCCAATTAAAACAAAATTGAATTTATAGCTCTTTCTATGAAGAGTCTAGGAGCATTAGAAGTCTCCAATTAAAACAAAATTGAATTTATAGCTCTTTCTCTGGTTCATAGGCTATGTTCACCTGAGTGCAAATCAACAGGGGGGTTTGACTAGTTGCTAAAGCAACGCTTATTGCAGTCTCCAGGTTGGCGAGGTGGGGAAAGGCCTTGCTTCTGGATCAGCCTTAATATGGAACAAGAAGTTGTACAGGATGAACAGTACAAATACATCCATGGCGACCATTCCCCCTGGAGTTCTTGAATGAGAAGAGTATCTCACATTCTAGTACTCCTCCAAAATGAGTAGGCCCTGGAATTTCATTTCTAACTTCTTTATCCCCAAGGTCATTAAAACTGAATTACAGAACCTATGATTCCAATGTCCTACAATAGATCTGACAGCTCTAATTTTGTAGCCCTTTAGAAAAAATATCTTGGTAGGACTCTTAGAAGCATGGCCTGGAGGACTGCAGGTTTGCCATCTTATCCATGGTTGTCTAGTGGGATGAATGACTTGGGTTTTTACTTAATGCAATTCTTGTAATTAGGTAAGGTCAAGAATTGGTTATTGTCTTGAATATGATGCCTTGCTGGAATATATGACTGCTCAGGAAATAATGATCATGTATGCCAGAATATAGGGAGTCTCGGAGCCCCAGATTCAACTGTATGTGAACAAATGGTTGAATTCACTTGAACTGGAGCCTCAAGTGAGTCATTATGCTGCTGCGCCTTTTGTTGACGCTGCTAATGTTGGGGTGCTTCCTTTTGTCCCTGCTGTTTGAAATGAAGCCCATCGCTCCACCTAAGCTCCTTTTCCAACAATGACTTCGTTATGAAATTGTCAAATTTTCTACTAGGTTTCAGATGCCAGTAATAAGGCAAATCAGTGTAGCTTCACATCTTCCCTTTGCAGAAATGAAACAATCTTAGTTTTATTTGAACTGTAGCTTCTCAACCTCAAAAGGGATGAATTAAAAGGGAGTTTAGGAGCAAGGGCTTTGCACTGAATTGGATGCTGTCAGAAAGCAAGGGTAATTCTGATTGAGTATCTTACCTTTATCTCAAAGGTAAAGGTAACAAAACAGGGCTATGGCCAGGCCTGCTGGCTCATGCCTGTAATCCCAGCACATGAGGCCAGGAGTTTGAGACCAGCCTGACCAACTTAGCAAAACCCCGTCTCTACTAAAAATACAAAAAAAGTAGCTGGGCATGGTGGCACATGGTATAATCCCAGCTACTTGGGAGACTGAGCAGGAGAATCACCTGAACCTGGGAGGCAGAGATTGCAGTGACCAAGGTAGTGCCACTGCATATTTAAATTGTATAGCTTGATAAGTTTTGACAAATAAATATATAACTGTGAAAACAAATGCAATCAAGACAATGAGTATATCCAATCCTCCAAACAATTTTTATGTCTTTTGGTAATCTTTCCATTTCTCCTCACTCCCTTCTCCTCAGGTAACCATTGATGTACTTTCTGCCAATGCATATTAATGTGCATTTTATAAAGTTTTAGGTCAATGAAATCATATAACATCCATTTTTCTACTCAGCATAATTGTTTTGAGATTCATCCATGTTGTTGTCTGTATCCATGATCAGTTATTTGTATTGCTGCACTATATTCCGTTGTATGGATACACAACAATTTTGTCACTAACCTATTAATGGACCTTTGGATTGTTTCTATTTTGAGGATTATTAAAATAAAACTGTTTTTACTCTTAAAGGATATTTTTGCTGGATATAAAAGTGTGTATATATATAATTTTTTAATTAAAAAAATTTTTTTAATTATTTTACTTTAGGTGCATATCTGGCATTTCTCCCCATGTTATCCCTCCCTCCCCTCCCCTCCCTCCCCACCCACCACTGTCTCTCCCTATCCCCCCCAACTGTCTCCAGCATGTGATGCTCCTCCCCGAGTCCACACATTCTCATTGTTCAACACCCACCTATGAGAGAACATATGGTGTTTGGCTTTCTGTTCTTATGTCAGTTTGCTGAGAATGATGGTTTCTAGATTCATCCAAGTCCCTACAAAGGACACGAACTCATCGTTTTTTATGGCCGCATAGTATTCCATGATGTATATGTACCACATTTTCTTTGTCCAGTCTATCATTGATGGGCATTTGGGTTGGTTCCAGGTCTTTACTATTGTACATAGGGCTGCAGTGAACATAAAGATGTGCCACTGTCTTCTGTCCTCCAAAGTTAGAAGTCATTTGAATTTTTTTCTTCAAAAATTTGTCTTGTTACTCCCTGAATGTACTTGGTATTTTCTCTTTTTCTTTGGTTTTCAGAAATTTGATGTTTTAAGCATAGTTTTTTTTTTAATTATTATTATTATGTTTTGAGACAGAGTCTTGCTCTGTCACCCAGGCTGGAGTGCACTGGTGTGATCTCAGCTCACTGCAACCTCTACCTCCTGGGTTCAAGTGATTCTCCTGCCTCAGCCTCCTGAGTAGTTGGTACTACAGGTACTCCATGCATGGCTAATTTTTGTGTTTTTAGTAGAGACGTAGTTTCGCCATGTTGGACAGGCTGGTCTCAAACTCCCAACCTCAGATGATCTGCCTGCCTCAGCCTCCCAAACTGCTGGGATTACAGGCATGAGCCACCACTCCTGGCCTGTGGTTTTCATTATTGTCGGCCTTCTTGGAATTCACTGAGCTTTTGAATTTAAACTTACATCACCAAATATGGGAAATACTCAGCAAACATTTTTATGTTAATCAATTATTTCTTTTCTTTCTGTTGGATTCCATTTTTATATCCTTTTAATGTTGTGCCACACAGAGATGCTGTGACTCTGTTCGTTTTTCTGTACTTTTTCTATTTTTTAAGCTAACTAGTTTATATTGTTCTATCTTCAGATTTACAGAGTTCTTGTCTCCAATCTGAGATGCATTCTATCCAGTGAGTTTTACATATCAGATATTAAAATTTTAGTTTTGGAATTTCCATTTTGTTCTTTATTTTGGTTTATATTTCTATAGTGATTTCCTATCTTTTTTCATTATAAGCACTTTTTTCATTTTCCTTATTATTTAGATCATAGTTATAATAATGTATTTAAAACTCTTTTCTGCTTATTACAGTATTTTGGTCATTTTGAGGTCAGTCTCCATGGATTGTCTTTACTCTGAAGCATGGGTAATGTTTGCCTATTTCTTCATTTGCCAACTAATTTTGGATTCTCTCCTGGACATTGTGTATAAGATATTGTAGAGAGTTTTGATTCTGTTATATTCCTTCAAAGAGTTTTAAATGTTTTCAATTGGCATTTAAGATGACTAAATTTACTCTATAAACTCTATTTTAGAAATAGGCTAATATCTCAGTTTAGTCCTTTTAGCATTAACTTGACCAAATTATATATAACTATAAAGCATTTAAATATAAATATTTGAAAATATAGCTATATATACTTAAATATAACATATGGCTTATTATTATCTGTGGGAATATTAGACTGATAGAAGCTACTTGGCCATTACTCACAGTGGAATCAATATATGTTATTTTAATTTATAGGAATAGCCCTTTTCTAACAATATTTGAAGAGGCAACTTCATCTGACAAAAAAAAAATCTGTCTTGGGTACATAGTCATGTAGAACAGACCTGTATTGAAAATTCCAGTAAGGGATGTTAAAATTTCATTTTGTTTCAGTGAATTCCAGGTGTAAGATTTTATAGACTGGAAAAGAAGACTTCTTGGTGGTAGCTCTATGGGTATCAGATCTTAGTAGCATGAGCTAGAAAAGTTCAGGTCTTCTGTTTCATCAATGTGAACTGTATGCAGAGTGGAAGAGTTAACAGGGGTCTAATGTCTATGAATACCCTCTTGATTCTGGTCAAGTCAAGAATTAGCTATTGTCCTCATGCTGATGCTATGCTGAACCACATGAGAAGTCTAGAATTTCTGATCATATATGCCAGGCTGTGGGGAGTCCCTGACCCAGACATTTACAAATATGTGGAAGGCTTTCTGCATTCAGTGTACCTCAAAACCCATGCTGACAAGGTTGCCTACACATACAGGTAAGTCATTACGCTGATGCAATGATTAAGCTCCCTATCTGTGTTTTTAGTGCTTAGAATGAATGCCTACAAATTCAACCTCAGCCCCTCCATCACACAGAGACAATGACTGTGAAATAACCTGGCTTCAGGGTTCAGAGATTAGGAATAAAGCAAATCTCACTTGGATGAGGTTAACCTTTTGTGGAGATGAGCTGTAACATTTGCATTTCAAAAAACACCTCATTCCCATCTCTTTATGGCTTTGTCTCCTCAAAGCAGAAATATTTCACAAATAATGATGCTAAAACAAATTACTCCAAAAAAATGTAATGTCAATGAAAATGACCTGATGAATACACCTGGACTCGAAACTGCTGCTTTTTTTTTTTTTAAATTGAGATGGAGTTTCACTCTGTCACCCAGGCTGGTATGCAATGGCACGATCTTAGCTCACTGCAATCTCTGCCTCCCTGATTCAAGCAGTTCTCCTAACTCAGCCTCCCAAGTAGCTGGGATTACAAGCACATACCACCACATCCAGCTAATTTTTGTATTTTTAGTACAGATGGGGTTTTGCCATGTTGGCCAGGCTGGTCTCAAATTCCCAATCTCAAGTGATTTGCCTGTTTTAGCTTCCCAAAGTGCTGGGATTACAGGCATGAGCCACCGCACCTGGCCCGAATCAACTGCTTTGTTAGTCATACCAAATCAGCATTATGATATGTATGATGCTCTTATCTTAATGTCTCTTAATATCTACTTTCTGTCTCTTTTTTTGACCATAACAGGAAGCAAACATAGACTGAATACTGCTATTGCCCTAATAGGAAAGTCTTTGGTCATCTTCCTGGATGAGCCATCTACTGTCATGGACCCAGCCTGACACTTCCTCTAGGATGCAGTTACATGGATGTGTAAAACTGGTAAAGCTACCATC